ATATATATATATATATATATATATATATATATATATATATATATATAATATAAATATATTTAATATAATAATTTTTTTTATATATGTATATATATATATATATATATATATATATATATATATATATATATATATATATATATATATATATATATATATATATATTTAAAAAATATTATATTAAATATATTTACATTATTATTAAATGTATTTATGTGTGTATATATATAAAATTGTACACAGCGTAGTATATGGATAGCATATATAGTCATAAAATTTGAGGTAAGTGCATAGTGAGGATTACTAAATTACAGATTATTCCCAATGTACAGGAGTTACATATATGGGGATCTTTCAAACTTAATTTGTTCTCTTAAAGGGAAGTATTTGTCTTTAAAATCTACTATTGAAAAACTCCATCTCAAACATTACTACTCATGAAAATTTTGGCAACATTGGATGTTTCAACTACATGCAAGTGATTTGCACAATCTGAATCTGAATGACATGCTCAGAAAACTGATATAAGCATGTATGCATCTTTTTCTGCATAGATATTGACGTTGTCAAGTCTATAAATACATATATAAATATAAATGTGTGTGTGTCTATATATATATATAGAGAGAGAGAGAGAGAGAGAGAGAGAGAGAGAGAGAGAGAGAGAGAGAGAGAGAGAAAGAGAGAGAGAGGAGAGAGAGAGAGAGAGAGAGAGAGAGAGAAAGAGAGAGAGAGAGAGAGAGTGAGAGAGTTGTTAACTCTGAATGTAGCCCTTAGTGTAATTCACCTATGCTATCATACATATACATAATTCTTACATAAATGTACTAAAGTATATTTTAATTTTAAGAGCAGACAGATGAGACCAAAGAACTATATTCATGTACAAGTGGAGATCTTGACCAAATGTTTGTTCCAGGCCCAAACTTCACAAATTTCCTGCAGTAGCTTTTAGGCACTACAAACATAATAATAATCTTCACCATCTATTCTTCTGTTTATCTTTAACATAAAACATGGATGGCACATGCATGTATTGTTTTGTATCGTCAGTGGGATTGAAACTAGGCCAGTTTATTATTAATCCACCACTAATGTATACTTCTCACCGCCTTGCAAAATGTCAGTTTGCATCTCTTTCAGTCTGTTTCCTGCTGTTAGCTTTAGACAATAGCTCATTGGGTGCTGAGGAACAGTATGATTCAGGAGATCAAGCTGCATTTCTGGGAATGGTTCCACCCCTCAGCTGTGTGTGACACACTACACCACAGCCAGCCACCGGCTGCGGTTATGCCAGCCTGCCCAAAACAACACCCACTGGTGCCCACAGCCAGCTGCACATGCCTGGCACAGATCTCCAACTGGCAGAAGTAGGCAAGTATCAGCTTTACCCAGGCAGACAAACTACTGTTATAGATTCCCATGACTATCCAAAGACATGCAGAAACACACATACACAGCTTTGACATGATAAGGAGCTTGAAGCGGTGCTCATATTTTGTGACATTTTATGACCTTGAGGGGTAAAGTTCTGTCTAACAGGCTGTTTAATGTCCAAACAGCAGTAAAAAAAAAATTAATAATAATAATACTTGAATAAATAAATAAATAAATAAAGACTGAAATTAGACATTGTAAAAATGTTACAGTCGACGTGCAAATGTTCAGCTTTACAGAGTTCACACGTGTCATTTTCTGAAACACGAAAAGCTTGATTGTTGCAGGCAATTGTCCCCATCTGACAGAACCCGATAGAGTTTCAGCTTCCCTGTCATTATCCTGTCATCATTTTGGTGTTCTTAGAAATCAGGCAAGATACCTTCACATTATCATGAGGATTTGCATACAAATTGATGCATATCAGATTGACAGCCTGCATAATGTTATGTAAAAGTTATTCTCAGAATGGTGTGCCTTGCAAAGGCAATCAAATGTAACATTTAAATATGCAACAAATCAACATTTCTTTCATTCTTTGGCTAAAACCATAACCAGGCCTTCAGTGACTTGGTTAGTCAGTCATCCACAGTGTTTAAATTTTTGTAAATACAACTGTTTTGCAACTGACATACCTTAAAGTGTTGTCCACAGAGAAGCCCTTTGACCTGGCCAGACTTGTCAGGAAGTTTCTCCGGCTTTTACCCATTCTTCTCTCCACCAGGTACACAGTCGCCTCTCTAAACTTCATTTCTTTCTGAGGCTGAGCACTGGTCAGTTCAGGTTGCCGACGTTTCCTCAAAAGAGTGGAGAGGGTTGTCTGGAACATTCTTTATACTTGAAATAATAATTAGTTGTACAGTAGGAATTTCAGAAATGTGACAGCAGTGTTGTGGTTCTACTTTGTCAAATGGCACAGTCGGAGGAGGTTTTGCTTTGGCAATGGTGATGGTATCGGTGTCTTATTTTTCTGAGAGAGAGAGAGAGAGAGAGAGAGAGAGAGAGAGAGTTGGCAGTTGGAGTTGTGGAGTGTGTGTTTGTGACTTGGCAGAGAGATGAGTAACAGGTGTTTTTGATTTGCTACCCATAATAAAACTCAACTACCAGGGCTGAATAATTGAGTTGTATAGGGGCCTGAAGATAGTAACGAGAAAATATAAGAAGCTGCAAACAATATTTAAATTATTATATAAACAACATTATTATGTAAAATGGTGAATGACCTTGCCAAGAACACCAGTGACTGTAACAAAAGAAAGAAGGTCAAAAGGATACAATGCTCTCTTCAGTGAAACTGTCAATATTTCTTCCATTACACGGCAGTTACGGAATCATTAGAAAGATTTAGGGTACAGCTCAGACCACGATAAAGCAGTAACTGAAAATGAATGAATGAAAAATGTATCATTGTAAATGCCTCAATTGTAATACACAATGTCTTGCATATGTATTCGCCTCCTTTGAGCCTTTCCACCTTTTTTAGTATTCCAACCTGGAGCTGAACTGGACTTGAGTTTTTCGCCGTTTGGATTACGCAATATGTCTAACATTTGAAAGTGAAAAATATTTATTCTGAGACAAAGGTTAATTAAACAAAATAGAAAACATTTGTTGGTTGCTTAAGTATTCATCCCCCAGGACAATACTTGGTAGAATCACCTTTGGCTGCAATTTCAGCTTCATGACTTCTGGGATTTATCTCTATTAGTGTTGCACATCTGGATCTTGATATTTTTGCTGTCAGACTGAATGGAGATGTTGGTGAACTGCAAAACTGCCACAGATTGTCAATTAGATTAAGGTCTGGGCATCTTATGCAAAACATTTTTAGAAACTTGTTTAAGACAATACAAAGAACAGTGAACAAAGAACAATGAATAGATTCAGTAAATAAATAATCGGTTGTTACCCAGATGAGGTTGGGTTCCCTTCTGAGTCTGGTTCCTCTCAAGGTTTCTTCTCATATCATCTTAAGTAGTTTTTTCTTGCCATCGTTGCCACCAGCTTGCCCAATAGGGATAAATTGACACACTTAAAATCTGTATCCTGTGTTTATATGTTTCTGTAAAGCTGCTTTGAGACAATGTCCATTGTTAAAAGCGCTATACAAATAAAATTGAACTGAACTGAATCGAATTATCTGAACAGTAAACAATGGAACAATGTGTTTATAAACACTGCAAGACTATCTGAGGTAGAGGTTGTAGTGTTTGTCTTTCCTTTCTCAATTTCTCCAGGGGGGTTACGATAACTCATTACCATTATGGACCCTCACAGATGTCCGGTGTTGTCCAGAAGCTTCTCCCTGCATGCCACCCATATGCAGCCCGGCAGCGCATGCTGTTCCTACTAGTCGTACATCTGCTTGAGCCAGCAAATGAGCACATCAGTGAAGATGGAGCCCTTCATTAGCTACTCAATAACCACAAAGCAGCATATGTGGAGATGGTCAGCTGGGCCTTTTTTTGCACTCTACATTCCACTGCTTCACATGACATGTATTCACATCGTTGCTCTTTTTTTATTTTTGTTATGTGTTTTAATTATGGTTTGCTTTTTTAGACCGGCACCTCTTCCCCTATCTTCTTTCTCTTCCTTTTAATGTTACTCAGAAATAAAATAGCAGTTCTTTGTTCTTTTAACAAACATTTGACTACTGCTTTCCATAGCACCCCCAAAATATGCTGGGGTTTGTCTTTGAAATGTAAGAAAGATATTTTAAGAAAATATATTGATCTCTATTTTGTATTTACTTAAACCAATGTTGCAAAACTTCACTCTTGGAGATCCAAAGTCTGGCAGTTTGATAATTTTCCTCCTCGATTACATCTCATTCCACTCACCAGTTGAACTAGCATGATTAGCAGGGAAATTGCCCAAATGTGTTATACCCCACTACTCTGGGATCCATATTTAAACAAATGTTTTCTAATCATGTCTAGTATCTGAATTCCTACTTCATATCAGACTCATTCTTATTGTGTTGGCTGTCTGTAATTTTCTAATGTTGTCAGAATTCTCAATGAACAAATGATTGGATACATTCCCAAGTTTACTATATTATTAGCCATAGTGCACTGTAAATCAACTCTACGTCCACTCCAATGCAGTATACTGCATATGCAGTACATCAATGTACAGCAATATCTGTCAGCTTGACATTTACAGCTCGACAGCAGAATGGCATTGGAGGACACTGGAGCAACTTTATATATAAATGAAAGTTAAAATGTTTTCCATTCCGTTTTCCTGGCGGGGGTTACAGTGGCAACAATCTAAGACGTTCAGTGCAGCCACAGATTCCTCCTCCTCCTGTCTGATACAATCTCTCCAGCAGGTCCTGAATCTAGGGTTTATGTCCAGTGGGACATTCCTGATACAGCTCTAACAGGAGCCAACCAATGGACACTGTTATAATGTGTCCAAACAACCTCAATTTTGATTTGGTGGTGCAGAGACTTTACTTTAAGATTCTCATATTTACATTCTATTGACACTGATATCATAAGATGCACTTATCCAGAGCAACTTGAGGTTGAGGGTTAAGGGCCTTGCTGTGGCAGTGGCAGCACTGAGATTTCAACTCAAGACCTTCCCATTAGTAGTCCAACATCTTAACCACTGAGTTACCACAGCCCAGTAGTCTCCCAGATTATCAAGCTCCTCATCCTCAGAAGTTCATCTTCTCCCAAAGTAACAATCTCCTCATGGATAGTAATACCAATAGTCCTGCAGAGTTCAAAGCTTGTGACCATAGAGTGACTGATGGAGTGAGAGAGCATCACCATTACAAACTGTCACAGCAACTGTAACATTTCAGTGTTTTGTATGTTTCATTTTTGTTTTTTGGCTGCACCACAGGTAAGTTGTAACATTAACATATTGATCAGTAACAGTATTTCTCTGTAAAATGAACCCTCAAGCAGACAAAGTCTGTACAAAAAATACAACATGATAATGGAGTATTATACAATATGTCACTTTCAGTTTGCTGAAAAAGTCTATTATTGATGACCAGCAAAGGACTTGATAATAACTGAAAGAAAGGAAAAAAAGTGTGTACGTGTGTGTGTGTGGGGGGTGGGTGGGTGTGTGGGTGGGTGCATGTGTGTTAAACATTTATGCCTAGATTCTTATTAGCTTAGTGCTGGGATGTTAACTGGTGCCACAATGTTGCTTTTGTTCAATTGTTCGCCGCTTTCTTTCCAACCCCTCATGTGTGCACTGGTTTGGCATTGATCCCAAATTAAACTCAGTCTGGCTGATAAATGGCCTGCCCCTTTACACCTGCAGCACAGAAGAAAGAATTCACAAGCAGGAACCCAGGTTGAACCTCTCTTCAAAACCAGAACAAATAAAAACATTTAATATGCCAGTGTTTGAAATTCAATTCTTCAGTCTACTCATTATGAATAGATGTGGGAACTACAAAACCTTTGTTACGGAATTGAAGTTAAATATTCAAGTATCTCTACTTGATTCACTCAAGACTTTTGACATTTTCTCATTGCATTTCAAAGGAAGTGTCTCTATTTACAAAGAACTGGTTGCCTTTTTTTGCATCAGACAACATCAAGGATTTGTTTAACAACAGATTTCAAACAAATCTAAACTCTAACAGATGTGACAACAAAAACAGATGGTTGAATGAGCCCTTGATAAATGTATTTACAAATTTCTATCTTTTATCTGTAATTGATTGTGTGTTCAGCTACACACACACGCAGTGTCTACCAACAAAAAAAGGAGGCTAAGTGAAAAAAAGCGCAATGTGTAAAGCCGCTTTGCAATGAAGGAAATCTGTACGGTGATGATGTCTACGAAATACAGCAACATACACAAAATGAAAGCAGTGGCAAGCCAGCTGAAGTTGAATTAGATCACAGGGCATTCACTTAGTCAGATAGTCAGCTCTTATTCTCTTCCAATTCTTGCTGATGTGACACCAATCAAGTAAACACAAAACTTGGCCTTCAACAATTCTAAAAATAAAACACGTAAGTAAATGATCTTTACTGATAATGATAATTATTGATATAAATATCTGACATTAGCTAGATTTTGTATTTATATAGCCTGTTTGCATTGTTGTAGCCAGCCATTGACATGTTAGTTTGTATGTGCAGTCAGAGCTATTAGCATGCTAGCTAACATTTGAGAGATGAAGAATGCCAAGAATTAGCATTATGATATATACTGATCAGCCATAACATTAAAACCATCTGCCTAATATTGTATAGGTCCCCCTTGTGCCACCAAAACAGCTCTGACCCGTCGAGGCATGGACTCCTGAAGGTGTGCTGTGGTATCTGGCACCAAGACGTTAGCAGCAGATAATTTAAGATTGGACATGGGTTGTCCAGCACATCCCACAGATGCTCGATCGGATTGAAATCTGGGGAATTTAGAGGCCATATCAACACTCTGAACTCATTATCATGTTTCTTAAATCATTCCTGAACTATTTTTGCGGAGTAGCAGGGTGCATTATCCTGCTGAAAGAGGCCACTGCAATTTGGGAGTACCATTGTTATGGTCTGCAACAATGTTTAGGTAGGTGAGATTGGACCAGATGGGCTAGCCTTTACTTCAAATGTGCATCAGTGTGCCGTAGGCATCCCTGAGCCTGTCGCTTGTTCACCAGTTGTTCTTCCTTGGACCATTTTTTGTAGGTACTAACCAACATCTACCATGAAAACCCCACAAGATTTGTCGTTTTGGTGATGCTCTGACCCAGTCGTCTAGCCATCACAATTTGGCCCTTGTCAAAGTTGATCAGATCTATTTTTCCTGCTTCCAACACATCAACTTTGAGAACTGACTATTCACTTGCTGCCTAATATATCCCACCCCTTGGCAGGTGCCTTTGTAATAAGATAATTAATGTTATTCACGCCACCTGTTGGTGGTTTTAATGTTATGGCTGATCAGTGTGTATTTGCTATAAGCCAAGTTTAGTTCATATTTGCATATGTGAAATCTGAATAAATACACTATGTTTTATTTTATTTTTTAATAATAAATTTTAAAAAGCAGCTTTACGCAGCTAATTTTTATTTAGCTACTTTAACTTGACAAAAAAGTTACTTTACTTTAACATTATGTTGAGTATTAGCAGCTGATTGCAAATAGGTGTGTATGTGTACCACCACATTACTGAATGTTGAACTTTATATACAGTAATTATTGATTTTCTTATCACATTTCAACCCTGAAATCTGTCTGAAAGTCAGGTGTTAGAGGTTTTTTGTTTGTTTGTTTGTTTTAATAGATTCAGTTGAGAATGATCATCCAAAACACCAACCTTAACATCAGCCCTGTTCGACTCAGATTCAATTCAGTACACATTCGCATTTCATTTGACTGCTGGTCTGTCAGTGAGGTCCAGAACTACTCAGCTAAATAAAGCAACATAAATGCCGCACCAAAAATGTGGTCTACAGGACCTGATCTAAACTATAGACCTACTTCAAAGTCAGATGAGGTTTATTTTATCACTGTAGATCTTGTGCTCTACCTATATTATAACATTTGTTGTGAATTAAATTGTGAAATGAATGTGTTGAAAGTGAAATGTTCACCACCGTACTGCGCCTTTCACTTCCCTTTCTAATGCTGTTCAAACCACGCTTTAAGAAGGAAACCTTCTGCTAATTCACCCCTTAAAAGTGCATGTTTAATTCCAGAGGATTTATATTTACTCCAGCAAAGCCAAAGAGTCTTACAGTATTTATGAAATGATTTGTGACAGTTCACCAGAATAGTAAGTGCACAATCTGACTGCTGTTTCGCATGAGAGAGCGTGAGTTGGCCAGCAAGACTGTCAGAGAGACCATCACAATGACAAGAGGAACTTCCCACATTATGTGAAGTCCGGTTGCGGTGCAGTTACAGTAAACACCTCAGATCGATGAGCTGCTGTCAGATAGCTCGCAGTTTGATGTGGAATATTTGAAGCTGAAATGAGTCTGCCAACCAGGGAACAGTTTGAGGAGTGGAGCTCAGCACAGGTAGCCAGCTTCTTGTCTCAGGTAAGTGAATGGAAAAGCTCTCTGGCACAGCAGGAAGACATTTCTGTTGTTACCTTGTAAAATTTTCTGTATAAAATAACAGAACTGAAGATAATAATCACGTGTTAGGACATGGGAGTTGCTGGCAGTATACAGTGTTTAGCTCATTAAGTGTAATCCAGTCTATCAAGTGTCTGTGAAATATGAGAAAGCAGGACAGTCTTACTCATGTAAAAAGAAACATAAAAACCAGCAGTTTATACAGAAATACATACAAACATACTCATCATAATGTAGCCGTTTATACATATGCAATGCTTGGAAGTATAATATTATGCATGTTACTCACAGAACAAGATGAGAGACTGTGCTGTAACAGTGCAGAGAATGAAGATTGATGGCCGGTGGTTCCTGGTAGGTGGCACATACAGTGGAAGTAGTAATTAGTAATATTATTTGCATCATTTACATGAAATTATTTTTAGATTACCTGTATTGCCAACAGAAAAATAAATCTATCTTTAATATCAGTGAAACTACACAGAAGTGAAAAAACTATGTATTTACTTACTTTATTTATCCTGCACTCTAATTTTTATTCATTATTTTATTTTTATGATCTATGTTTCCTTAAATGATTTTTGTGATGTATTCAAGTCTTAGTAGAGTATGGTATCATGATTTTTGATTTATTTATTTAGAATGACAGCAGAATTCAGTAGAGTTTTACCACTGGAATGTGATGAACTACCACATTGCTTGGTACAGAACCCCTAAAGGGACATGGTGGTGGAAAAAAAATTGGGATAGGAGGAAAAAAAAAATTAAAAGCTTTTGCGTTCTCTCGCAAAACTTTTGCGTTCCCCCGAGAAACTTTTGCGTTCTCTTTCAAAGATAGCCTACCTGTTGTGTTGCCTACCTACTTCTGTGGTTCGTGCTTATATCTTCACAGCATCACTTGAGTAGTTTTTTCGTCGAAACAATGTTCTTTTGCGTAATATCCTTTTCAGTTGTCTTTCATTTAAGTCAAAACCGTGCCTCAAACTAAGCACAGACTGTATTTCTTTATATTTAAGTTCAAAATAAAACTGAACCGCTCCATTGTGAACCTACGGAGCTGTCTGAACCATTACCAGCGGGAAAATAAATAGGAAGTTTTACTCCTAACACTCATAACAGGTTTTGCAAGGGAACGCAAAAGTTTCTTGGTGGAACACAAAAGCTAACAAAAATGTCCTCTCATCCCAATCCCAAGCCCCTTTAGGGGCTTCATAGTTTGGCAAGAATAAGATTCGCTAAATTCTTTTAAAAACATACTCATCAATCCCTACGTTTCACTACTGTGATATTTTCTGTCCTTGGGGAGCTGGAGCAGCGAAGTCATCTGAAATTCAAGGCTTCCATCGAGTATTTCTACTTCTTGGAACTTGATGTTCTAACTCATTACATTTTCTCAAAAACCTAAACCATAGTCCTTTCAGATTAATATATGAATCATACCACAATATAGGGTGGATTCCATTTATGAGACTTAGCTCTGAAAGGGCACATAGTATGTAGAGTAAATTATATAACATCACAGATATGTTTCTGAGGAGCACAGTCATGTGTATTGTGAATGTACAAT